ACGGGCGGAAGTAATCCGGGTTCCCCAGCTCCGTAGGTACTCCGTACTAATAGCGTGATCAGGAACGTTTGCAAACACGAATATTAATAGCGTAATAGGGTTGATAGACTAGTGCTCACATTGCTCTCATAAACTAAAGTAATTTGATCATAGAACTATTGCTGGGACTCAGGACTTGCCTGCGCCCATCGTGTATTTAATCTATACTATAATATTATAAAGAGGTAAAGTTTGTGAGTTTGTGACGTTGTAGGGGGTAATCTCTGGACCTACTAAACCGATTCAGATGAAATTTCGTGGCTTAAGATCCTGGAAAGGACATGGGATAGGTTTTATCCCGGAAATCCCTAAAGGGGGTGAAAATGGAGATGAAAGTTTGTATTGGGAAGCAAGCTAGGAACGAACCCGAGCGAAGCGAGGGTGAGTAGCTAGTTACATATAAACTCCTGTTCACTGATTCTGGTCAGCGATCTCATTAAAATAGCCATCTACATGGGAGATATTAGATGTTAGTGTAAACATATGGTCTGACGAATATTCCTTCAATCTCCTCTCATCTCTTCTCTTCCCAGAGGTATTTTTTCATAATGGTCAGTAATTTATAACCGACTAACGACACTCGGGTGCGTCCATGGGTACCATTTGTATTTATATTATAATTATAGAGTCACCTTTTGGCTAATTTTATGTATACTCCAGGTCATATATAGTTAGTCTATATATTAAAATTCATCCAAATCCTTCCAGCAGTTTCAGCGTCAATAATTAATAAACATACACACATACAAATTTTCGCATTTATAATAGTACTTGATTCAATATCACAATCAGCATGCCTCCGAGACTACTCTACAGGTAACAACATCCGCATCCGCAATTGGTCTCGCGACAGATTGCAGAGTGCAGACGCACAAAACGAGAGGAGGTTAAGGGCTCCCACAAACTACAGACTACTTTTTCCTTTTTGCTAAAACTACGAACAAAAGAGTATATATGACACATGCTGAAGTTAGGCAATCTGGCACAAAAAAGAGTTCAGACGTTGTAATCTTAGAGACGCTCCAAAGCACTAGATTTTACTATGATAAATATTACCTACCTAGATATTAAACATTCCAAAACTTGTAGCATTAATTTTATGTATTGAGGTAGAGACTAAATGAGCTTTGCCATTTGACAGAGTGGTTAAAGGTAATACTAATATTACGTAATCAAGTGGTTTATTAAAGTAAGCAAGTGGTAAAGCGCTCACTTGAGAAACAGAGTGAAGCGAATATTTTCATATGCGAATCATTTCCAACATGATTGCCACTTGCCTTTTAGTGAAGAAAAACGTAAAGAAACCTGAATGTCTGAGAGAACCTAGCAAGTTTTCGAAAGACATGTGAAGTCCGCCAACCCGCACTTGGCCAGCGTGGTGGACTATGGCCTGATCCCCCTCGTATTGAAAGGAGGACGGTGTTCAGCAGTGGGACGTTAAAAGAGGGCTGAAATCTAAATACATACCTGCATTAAGTAATATTACATCAGGTTTTATTCTTGTACTTTAATCTAATCCTTTTTTTTCATTTAATAAACATAGAGATTTTGTTTTCATTAAATAAATAAAATATCGAAAATATTTTTTCCTTTTTCAATGATGCGATTTTAGCGATTAAAAAACAATATTTTTTATAGTTATCCAAATCAATGTTTAACCTGGTAAAATTTTAGCACCAGAAAGTTTAAGATTTTAATTAAATTCAATCAAAAGCTTAGAGATAAGACCTATAAATTCAATATGGTACAGTTGTTTTGACCAAGTTCTATGTACTTTATTGTTCTGATTCTGAAGGTCTTGTGCGAATCTAACAATTTATATAGGTATCTTGTTTTGCTTGAAATATAATCTTTACTGTACAGATCTAAACATACTAATATATAATAAGTAAACTAGCGACTTACGTTAACTTCACTTACGTTTAAACGTTTACTATAAGTAGATTTCTTAGAGATGAGATATTTTCCCGCAGTAAAAAGTTTCCTATATGTAAACCCGAATAACCAGCTATCTGTTCAGTCGTTTTCTTGTGATGCGTTCCCAGATAGACAGACAGACAAAAATTCTTAAAACTATAGATTCGGCCTCTACCTATCTAATAATATTTTTCAAAAAAATATTTAAAGTACAGATTCGTCTCAGATAGAATTTTATTATATGTATAGAATATGGATAGATAAGATTGTGATCTAGAAATAAGTTTTTGAATCTTTATTCGCTTTGTACGATACAAGTACATAAATAATTTCTCATCATTTCTAAGTCTGGAAAATCGTTTGAAGTTCGACTGAACAAATCTTATAAAGGGATTTAAATTTTCCTTCGATTTAAGTACATTTTTAAAGGTAGCAGATTTATAAATATTGACTTAAAATAACACTAAAATCGAATAATCTATACTTACAACAAGAAAAAAATGTAAGAGACATTTATAGAAAAGATATTATATTTATGTCTAAAAAGTGTAACCGAAACTTTTAAACAGTCTCGAATGCAGAACAACAAGTAGTAAGTACTTCTCAACAGTTGTTTAGTGCTATTTTGTTTGCGAAATGTTATACCGTATAGCTAGGTACTCTATTAGTATATATTACTAAATATTTATTTATAAATAATAGACTTGAATATCCTTGTATATCTAGGCTTATATAATAGGCTAGCTTAGACGAATGCAGGTCCTTAGTTCGATTTTAATATTGACTTTTTTATGCAAAAAAAATCTTATTAAAAGCCTAAATTTGGCCTTGAGCTAATGAATTTATTTGCTTTTTTTTTAAATTATGAACTAAAATAAATGTAAGGCCTATAAAATTCAATATTCCATTAATACAATAAGATAAAAAATTCAATGGAGAAGATAAAATTTCTCGTATGAATATACTTACCTAAATATGTACGTACTTATTATGTAAAATAAAAAGTTAAAAAATAATCTTATTCTTAGGATTAAATAATATAATATAAAATAAATCATAATCTAAACATCTCACAAAAATTTTCATTTCAAAGATATGTTATATAAGCTTCAAAGGCTTTTCACCCTTAATCCCGAATTATTTTTTTAAATTTTCTATAGGACCACCAAAAAATTATTATGAAATAGAAACCCACGAAAAATATAAGCGAATTGAGTACCGTATTTTTGACGTCGTTCTACAATAAATTAAATAAGTATTATTATGAACTAACACAACAATTCTCGTTCATCGGGAAGATCTCAAATATCTTCGAAAAAAAAAACAAATCAATTTATTACGTTTCTCTTCTGTCACCGAATGTTGACATTTCATACAGTATTAGAAATATAACTGCGTCATGTTTAAGCTAAGCACGTCTTTGAGCTTAGTTTTGGTATATTTATTTTGTCGCCAGACGGGTTTATTAGGATATTATATATTATCTACAGATGAAAGTCCTTTTTTGTACGTTTAATATTTGTATAAACGTTTGTTCAAGTTGTGCTTTCATTTTGCGGTTTTTTAACCTTGTTTTCTTTATTTTCACCACCTCAGAGGAAATGGTGAGGATGGTCCGCCCTGAGTGTCACCCTATTGAGGGTGACATCCGACACGTTCACCCTTTTCTTAACTCGGGTGTCAAGAGGATGACACCCGGATGGGTGTATAAAAGAATTGACTCGTTTGTCAAATCAACTTTTCCATATTGACTTCTTTGAAATGGAAGAGGTAATAATTTTTTTAGGTATGTCATCATCAAAAAGTCAACTGCTTCGTTGGTCTAGGGGCCATATACGGCTTACAAATCCTAGATTCGAGTCCCGAGTCGGGTCATATTTGACTATTGAGTTCATCTTTTAAGAAATTCTCAATAACTACTCGGTCCTGCGCCTGATCTCTTAACGTGATTGTTGAATTTTTGACCCATCAGCCATGGAGATTTAAAGGAAGAGAGAGTACTCATGTATCTTCACACATGGCATTCATTAATAAGCATCTGGGCTAATGAATTAATTAATATTTAGTAAATAGGATTTTCTAAGAAATTTAATTTTACAAGAAACATTAAAATAGTCAAATAATTTCATATATAAACACATACTTATGTACTTATAAAAATAATTAAATTCCGCATTTAGTTCTACTTACCAAAACTAAATAAGTGCCTAATAAGAACATTAAAAAAAATTTACTCTATATAGCCTAGAGGTCTTTTTAACTTTTTTTAAAGCAGTAAGTGTTTTAACGATAGTCATTTGGCTCACACCACTACAAGGACTTGGCAAGGAGCTGGGAAATGTGTTTAAGATATACTGTAATGGTAAACTTTAAGCTACATTAAATTCTCAATTATCTGTTAAAGATTAAGCTCTAAATTCTGCGAGAGTGTGCACTTGCAAATTTATTTTGTAGTTTCATGTGGCCGGATATTTTAATAGTTTTTTTTTAATTTTATCAAAAAAAAAATTTTTTTGTACTTTTGGCTTTATATTTTATGTATTTTTTTTATTTTATAAAAAACAATCTTTTTGAGGGGATATTATAAGTGTCAATTAAAATAGACATAACTATTTCTTTTAAATAAATAGGTATGACTTTTTGTCATTATTAAGGGACACAATAAAATTTAATTATAACAAAATTAAAACAAGAAAACAAAGAATAACAAACAATATTTTCATTCCAAATTTAATTTCATTAACTAGATAAATTAAAACATGATTAAAATATTATAATAATGTATTAAATTTCTACAAAACTGAATATAATATATATTGTGTGAATAAAATAAGTAAATTCCATTGGCAATAAAAACAAAATTTACTATGAAACCGTAATATAATAAAAATGTCCATAATCATAATTTATGAGTCTCTTTATTAAAATAATTTATAAATTAAATTGTTACAATAAAATAACTTTATTATAATAAACAATGATATCATTATCCTTTGTGCAATTTTAGTTCATATTTTGGTTAATAATGTTAAATAAAAGCATTATAATGGAAACAGCGTGTATAATATCACATCTGAAACAAAAAAAATATATATTATCTATACATATAATAAAATTCTAACTAAGCAGAATCTGTACATTAAATATTTTTTGGAAAATGTTATTGAAATAAACATTATTATCGATACAAAAGCCGAATCTATAGTTTTTTGATTTTTTGTCTGTCTGTCTGTTACCTTATTACAGAAAAACCACTGGAGGGATTTTGATGAAATTTGGTATGGTGGTAGCTGGTTATCCGGGTCAACATATAGGATACTTTTTACCGCGGGAAAATGTCTCATTTCTGAGAAAAAATACAAAAACTGCAATGTAAGAGTATACTAAAGTAAAACCTAAAAATTTGGTTTTTGGTCTAATGAACGCGGACGGAGCCGCGAGCAGTGCTAGTTGAAATATAAAAAGGTTTGTTTTTTGTAACTTTGGTTTTTTGTAATCCATGATTTTTAACACCATACAATTATTTAATAATTAATTTGATGCATTAAATGTATGTGTATATAAATTATTTTTAATAATTCAACACTAATAATTAAGAAAATTATTTCAATACTAAGTTTCACTGTATATTTTTACAGATAACAAATATTTTAAGAGATCAAAAAAAATACCTTCAGCCGGTATTCTAACCGTTAGACTGTCACTAGATGATATATTTTTTATAAGCATTTGACTAAATATGTCCTGAAACAGAAATAAAAATTTATAATTTTTTAACCACCGACGCAAGAAGACTGTTATATATTTAACGTGTCTGTCTGTGGCAGCGTACCGCCCAATCGCATGTACCGATATTAATTTGTTTTATTTGAAAGGTGACTTGATCAAGTGTTTTTAGCTATAAATCAAGAAAATCCATTCAGACGTTAACAGCTATCAGCTTTTTTCTAGACGGTAACAGGATATGAATAACTTTCACAGATCTAATGAATCTGAAACTTGGTATCCTGTAACTTTAATGGCATTGCAACAATATGATAACCTTGGCCTGATACTGCAGCGTCACCTGGAATCTGCAAGACACTCAGCTCTTTAGGAAAAAAATATTGCAAAGATAGTGATTAAGCAGACATATACTGTCTTATTAATAAACGAAGACTAACTTAAGATTAACTTTACTCCAAGTATTAAATCGGTTCTAACAAATTTCAGTATTAATAAACATGGAGTAAGGATGGAGTAAATTAATCCGAGTCTACTCTCGGCGTAAATATTAAACCTCGCTGCTACCTAGTTTAAGGACCGATTAAGCAGTTTACTTCTCATTGAGCGGTGACTAGTGTATCTACGGCATACCAAAAAGTATGAGGTACTTCTTCACTTGACCAATTGACATTTTGTTGGTGTTGGTTTAGTGTTACTGCAGCGTGTGATTTGTTTTGTTCGAGGGTTCATAAGAAATTATTAAAATAAAATGGATAGAGACTATTTTACTGATGATTTGAGGCTAATGGAAGAAATAAATGAGGATACAAATCAGCTTGACAGTATTCCTATAAGGACGAGGTGTGTTAAATTGTACAAATATCGTACCAATCCACTGGAAGAACTTGAGGATGCCGAATTTAAATCTAAATATAGATTTTCCCGACCTACTGCCGTTTATATAATTGACATGTTAAAAAGTGATTTAGCTGGTGATGCGAGAGGTGGTCACATACAACCAAAAAAATACCAATAATTAAAAATACCACGACATTCAAATTCACACATTGATAAAGAATGACGAATGTAAATAACTGACCTTTTCCTCTTCATCCCAGTTAATTGAGCGAATGCGTTTTGGGTTCATGTTATTATTTAATCAAAACAACATTCAAACAAACTGGTGTCTGGTTTGCGCGCTACACAGCAGATAAATTGTCAAACTCAAAACATTGCCTGTCACTGTCATTTGTGTCATCAATTTGCTTATGTTCATTCAATGGTTCGATCTTTTTACTTTTAAAATCAACTGGGTTGCCATAGCGGACGCGCTAATCCAGGCATAAGGAATGTATAGTTAGTCCGAGGTTACTCCATGTTTATTAATAACAATCTTGAAACGAAGCTAATACTTGGTTACTCCGGAATTAGCTATTCCAAGTGCAACCTCGTAGTAAGCTATGAATAAGCCTTTTTTATTAATAAGACAGATAGTGTGTAAGTGATTAATAGATTAATTAAAAATAATATATAATTAATTACCATAATAGTATAATCAGTACAATTCAATCCATATAAACCAGGTGTGAAAGAGATAGAATGCCCTTCTTTATCCAAATTCACAAGTGCGAAAGAGATAGAATGATATTTATCTCCTTTTCTTGGTAAATGTGGTTTCACCCATAATGTTACATGGTTTTGTAACTAAAATGTAAAAATACAGTGTTTTAATAATAAGTAGGTACTTCTTTTCAGCTTGATTTCATTTAACTAGCGATTCGCCCTCGCTTCACTCGGGTTCTTCCCTAGGTTGCTTCCCCATACAAACTTTCATCCCCATTTCACCCCCTTAAGGGATGATTCCAGGTAAAAACTGTGTAATACGAGTATAACTCCTATGTCCTTCCCATGGTCTTAAACTATCTTCTTACCAAATTTCATCTAAATCGGTTCAGTAGTTTCGGAGCCTATTCGGTACAAACAAACAAACAAAAAAACATCTTTCCTCTTTATATAATTAGTACAAATATGTACCTAGTGTGTATGATTTGTACAAAAATATGTATCTAAAGTCAAAAATATAATTTAGTTAAAACTTAAACTACTATACTTAATTATTTTAAAAGTTATTAAAAGTTTTCAATAACCAGTTGTTTGAAAGTACCATTTAAGGAAAGTATTACGTTATTGGTTGCTGCTTTTGTAATTTTATCATGTTTGAAATACATGAAATGAATTGAAATGAATAAAAATAAATATTAAATCACCTCTATAGAAAATCATTTTAAATATTAAGTACAATGGCAACATCGTAAAAAAAAGAAAATTACCATCATATAAAGGCCTGGTTTAAAATTGCCATAAAATTAAATCACAATATTGTTCGGTGGAAACAATAAGTATAAAAAAATCTAATTTGTTAGCACCCGTGTATTCTACTTAAGCTAAGTATACTAAGAGTAACTTTGAGTTTAAAATATTTTTCTATGGAAACTAGCATCAGACACTTGCCGCCATTTTTTTTTCAAAGCGTACAATGAAACTTACATGTATGGATAAAGGCTTTAAGTGTTCATAAACAAAAAAATAATTTTACACGTTAGATAGCCAACTGAGGATTGAAAAATTGGTTCTTAGAAAAACAAAAATATCGGCAATATGACGACATAAGGTGTCACGTTTCCTAAACATTTTGACGTAAAGACCGCTTATGTGGAGACGATACGATTTTATTTTTTTCTAAAGTGTCGTATTCATATAATATAAGCAAACCACAAGTTTAAATTAAAAAGAATAAAATTGACATGCCATAACTGTTCTATATACCTTTTTTAACATAATAATCGATACTAATATTAAAAGAGGCAGACTTTGTTTGAACGCGCTAATCCCTAATCCGATTAGAAAAATTATTTCTGCATTAGATAACCCGTTTATTGAGGAAATCTATAGGCTATATATATATATATATATATATATATATATATATATATATATATATATATATAATATATAGTCTATCTATCCAATACTAACCGTTAAAACGTACCTAGACATGAACCCAAGCGAAGCGAGGGTGAGTCGCTAGTAAATAATATCTATCATCTACATACTATATATGGCTTGGCCATGATCCCCAAAGCATCTTGAGCAATTGATATTAAATCTAAATTGAGCAAAAGTTGTTTTTCATATTGCGTTATTTTATTCATATCACAGGACAGTAATAATGGCGCAGATAGCATCGCGTACACTGCTATATGAACGCGACTTTGGTTCTCTGTTAATGATTGTGTGCCGAAAATTAACTGAAATAAAAAAAAAACAAATAAATAATTATTGTGCCTAGGGATCATTTAAAAATACATATCAGAAGTATATTTAAGCAGTATCAAGAACTAAAACTTTAAATACCTATGTTTGACTCATTTATGCACTGCACTTGCTTTAAGCATAGATAATAAATGAACAAATTTCAATGATGAAAACGAACGAGATCTTATGTCAAATTATTTACTTATGTACTACTGGTCAAAACATATGTTTTACTTTAGTTATTTTAGCGTGAATTAGTAACAAACATACAATCACACACGCAACGTACACGCACACGCACACACGCGTACGCGAACACTTTCATATACAAACACGCACGCACACATAAAACTTTTGCTAATAGTCCAGTAGTTCGATTACTAGAATAACCGCGAAAACCAACTATAAGAATTAAGTCCGTTATTATAATATCCTTACCATATCGGGGTCATTCCATTTCCCCGGTCCATGATGGTAATAAAACTCATCGTATCTGGCTTGGTAATGTTGTATAATGGCCTTGATGGCAGGCCACGATGTGACCACGTCGTGATAATTGCGCCACATGTTACAGTGCCTCGATATTACACTATAGTCTGGCTAAAAATTTATAATTCCTATGTTTTAAGTTATTACAAGTTACAAAGAATGGTATTATATGCATATTATGCTACAACTATACGCTCCATATAAATACACTAGCATTGCTCGCGGCTCCGCCCGCGTTCAGATGACCAATAACCAAATTCTTAGGTTTTACATATTAGTATACTCTCACATTACAGTTTTTGTATTTTTTCTAAGAAATGAGACATTTTCCGGTAAAAAGTATCCTATATGTTGACCTGGATAACCAACCAGCTATCACTATACCGAATATCATAAAAATCCCTCCAGTGGGTTTTCTGTGATGCGGTAACAGACAGACAGACAGTCAGGCAGACAAAAATTCTAAAAACTATAGATTCGGCCTCCGTATCGATAATAATGTTTATTTCAATAAGATTTTCCAAACAATATTTAATGTACAGATTCGGCTTAGTTACAATTTTATTATATGTATGGATGTATAGATACTATGTAGTACGTACATTTAATTATTATAAAGTAGTAAATGTAGTTAAATAGTAAATGTAAAAACAGTAACTTTTAAGATTAGAAAAGTACACAGACTTCACAGTTGCAATAAAAATGATTATTTTTATGGACCATTTTCTAAGCACTTTTTTATAATCCTTAAAATACATAGCTAATAATAACCAGGGCTCGGAATCGGTTTAAAAAAACGGTTCATTTCGATAATGTAATGGTTAATTCATCGCTCGTTCTTTAATCGGTTAATGAAAACGAACGGTTAAGTAAACCGAAATAATAATGTCTAACGGTTATTCTTAGAGAAAGATTGGCTTTAGGTTTTGATACCGAATTAAACCGGTTAATTCATTCGTAAGAAACGTGCATGCATCCTTCTTTTAAGCCATTCCTCACCATTCGTAAAGAGAAAGTTCATGGAACCTTAATTCGTCAAAAACAGTTTTCCCGGATTTAACTGGTTAAAGAACGTAACCGAAACCTTAAACCGAAAAGCCTTTTGGTCTGAGGTCAATGACCAACACCGGTTTAAAAATTGAACCGGATTCCCAGAATAAAACATATACGCAAATTAAGAATCTCCTCCATATGTTTTGCTTTTATGATACTTTATGTATACATACTTTTTATGGGTTAACTTATTCTAATATAACATTTTTTTTCTATAAAAGCTTTTATGTGTCTTAATTCTCATAATATCCTCTCTCCGCATAATGTAGACTTAATAAATCATAAAAGTTTATGGTCACTTACCTTTTTATGGTGTATAAATTCTATGTAATAAGGCCAGCTACAAGAGTATACTATGGGTCTGTTTGTGGCATTTAAGTGTGCTTCTAGCTTTATGTAAGCTGAAATATTTGGATTGTAATAAAATATTAATAATAATTTATTTTAATGTCCCACTGCTGGGCTTTTGAATGTTAAGAATATGATATAAATTGGGTTGGATTGATGGACTTCACATATCTTTGGACAACTAGTTAGATCGCTTTCAACATTAAAATGTCCTCATGCTGTTTAGGAGCAGGTAGTAATAATTATCAATCAATAAGTTGAAAATGATACATGCACATGAAACCTAAGAAATGTAGCCCGCCTGGGTTTTAGCACACTACAAATAATAATATTACTAAATTACTTGAGAAATATATACAATAAATGTTTTTGTGTATTCATGATTCTATGTCTGAGAGAACTTAGTAAGTTTTCGATAGACTGTTAAGTCCAGCAACCTGCACTTGGCCAGCATGGTGGACTCTGTCCAGCAGTGGGATGTTAAAAAAGACTGAAAAAAAAAATGTGCAATTCACACATCGTAGAAGTGAAACTTCAGAAAATGATATGAATATAGAGTATCAGGAGTAGGATAATCATAAGGATTTTTTTATATTATTTTTACCAAGTTTAAAAGTTATTTTACATTGTATTTGACATAAATATAAACATTACATAATAATCAGTAATGAATTTTATTATTTTTCACTTCCTGTGTAATGTATTCTATTAAATAACAACGGTTACCATGACAATGGTTACCATGGCATCATCGCAATGTATTCTATCTCATTCTATCGCCGGCTTAATCCTATATATTTATATGTTTGTCTCTTTTTACTGTCGCATTTCCGTTGCATCGAGTTTCAAATCACAACGATTCTAAAGAAGTTTCACTTCAAAAAACAACAATTCATACCTGTATTAAGATAATCTTCTGCAACAAAACAACCATCTACTTTCAAATAATCTATGTCCCACTCAGCAAGAGTTTTAGTGTCTATATCAAAATAACCCCGTGATCCTGGATAGCCCATACATGTTACATCTGATATATTAGTATACATACCAAATTTCAAACCTAATTTATGAATCTAAAAAAATATTTAAAATAATAAGTGATTATACTATCATTTAAGGCTACAATACCAAGTTAACCATATTCAATATTAAAATAGATAAATACGAATTTGGTACTTATTTAAATACAGATGTATATCTTTCCTATTAGCAAAAAAAAGTAATTAATATATTTTTTAATAACTATAAAGAAATAGATAAAAAAAGTTTCAGTTCAATTCAATTTTTTTGTTAATGGCTTCAAATCGTGCCACTTGAGCACATTTTTTCATTACATTTTACATTTTAAAATTAAAGTTTATTATATTAGAACACATACATACATAGTCAGCAATGTACTTCATGCCATGTGGAAATCTTTCTCTATCAGCCACAAGGCGGCCATTTTTATCTCTTTTCTTTTCAGACCAGCAATCATCTATTATAATGTATTCAAAACCTGCTTCTTGGTAACCATCATTGTAGAACTTGTCTGCTATTGATAAAATTAATTTTTCACTGTAACATGAAAATTTGGATCAAAAACAATTAACAAATTAAAACAATTGTAATATTCTTGTGAAGACTACACAATTAGTTTGTTCAGTTTAGTTACTTTATTAGAATTATGTTGTTGTAATATTAATAATAATATATAAATATATAAATAATATTAAATAATTGTAAGAAAAGTTAACTTATATTGTTTTAAGATTTTTTTTATTTAGTGATGCATATCATTTCTTTATTTAATAAGTTATGCTGTGTATACATATATATCTTACAGATTAAAAGTTTAGAACAAAATACAAATAAACTTTTTTTACATACTTACTCAAGACATTTTTGAGTTTTATTTTTACAGTTTACACCACACATATAGTAGCCCCATGACATCCATCCCATGGGAGGTTTAAGAGCCAATCCATTATTTAAAGCCTGTACATTAGATAACAAACATCCAACAAATATCACAAATAAGAATGCAATCATCTCTATAAAATTAAATAATATATAAATAACACGAAATAAATGGCCACGGTGTCATTTTATAACTTGAAATATTTAGAGCATTTTTAATTAATATAACAGCTTCAATATCTAAATACCGTATGCTTTTGTGCACGAATTTCAAGTTATTATTTTCAATGTTTTGTTTACGTCGTTTACGTTGCTGTATTTGAAGTTTGAACACTGTAATTTGACATTTGATATTTGACAAGTTAGTATATAACCCTAATAAATTAAAAAGTTTCCGTATTCCGTTAAACTCTGTTTAATAACGTGACAATTTAATAAAATATCATTACATAGACGTTTTGTTTTACGTAAAGTTACTAGAAACCTGGACGTCCAATGTTTTAATTCAGTGCTTTTCAAACTTTTGGACGAGACCAGATTTTCCTTCTATAAAAATCAGCTTATATTCTATTTTGAAGAAACACTCTAGTTTCAATAGTATTACGATCGAATGCTACATCAAATGCAAGACGTCACGTATACTCGAGCAATCGTCGTACAAAATAAAATGTTAGTGAAGTCGACCCAGACGATTTAAGTAAAGGGTCGGACGAACCCTGCCTGTACGTTATAGCTTTCAGAGTTTCATTTGTAACGGGAAAACTCCAAATGCCCAAGGAAATAATTCTTGCAAGTTATGTTGCGATAGTCAATGTATCCACTAAGGATTTTCTTTTTATTTGAAATGTTTCTTTTATGAATATTTTATAAAAGCTATTTGAAGAAAAAGATCATAGATTTTATTTAAATATTTTCTTTCTCAAGTGTGCAAACTGTCATTAACTTTTCACTAAGTCTAAGTTACGACTCAATATAACTGAGGGAAATTATTATTTAATCTTTAAAAAAATGCTTGAATTATGTTAGGTGTGTACTTTTTTTAAATCAATAGGCTGTTTTTAAATTTTTAGACCTCGTATTAATTGTTAAGTCTAAATTAAGCAATCTATGAAATTTCACTAAATAAATAATCATTTAGTTATCATTATGTTTAAATACAATTTTTATATTCGATAATTTTAATGGGTCATCTTTAATAATTGTAGATTGCGTCTAGTCTTACCTTTTACGTACTGTAGATGTGTTATGTGTAACTATATAAATCGAAATAAATACACTAAGATTTACAGTTTAATAGGTCTTAATAAATATTTGATTGAAGGAAAAATATTTTCGATGATTAGTCTAATGGAAAATAACTGAGAGAGCTCGTCATAGCTTTCCCGAAGTTTTCTTAACCTAGAAACTTTTATAATAAACAGCGCTGTATATTAAATTCAAGCTCAGTGGATATTGTAGTACAACATATGTGGATATTGTTTGTGAAGTCCTTTTTGAACCTATAATTATTATAAAATATTTACGAAAGGAATTAATAATTCAATAAATGTATAGCATATTATTACCTGCAAATGGGTAATAAACAACAAAAATCGGTCAGTTGCAAAAACTAGAAAATAAAGTAGGTATGGAACTAATAACATAGAAAAGTTATATTATTAACTGAAATCGTTTTACTTACTACATTTAAATGTTTGTTTGGATGTAAAAATTAAAAAAATAATATTTTTTACAGATTATCATATGACCCGGAGCATGGGCGATGGCATGGCGTGAGATGGCGCGGGTCGCGCTCGCGCTTGCCGCGCTGTTCGCGGCCGCCTCGTCGCGCGCGCCTACTAAGGACCCTGTACTATTTGAAGCAGCTTTTCAAGGTATTTAATAAAAAAAACTAAATTAAAATAGGCAGTTTAGGCTACAGTATATATCTATAAATAGCACATATTAAATAATTATTTATTAGAAGAAGCCTTATTTGAAACTGAAACATCCTAGTTACTATAAAATTTAAAATATATCATCATGTACTAAAAGTTTTGGATTGGCACTTCATAATTTACGTGCAATTGTGTTTTATTGCCCTTTCAAATACAAGAAGTTCTTAACGCGCCGTCTTATCTAACACATGATCTTAAATCACATACTTTAATCATTTCTATGTTAATCAGTTCATTGTTATTAGTTATTCTGTTACAATTCAAATATCTATTTTATTTTGTTAAGAAGACTCATAAATGACATTCTTCGTATTTTTCTCTTATAGACCCACAAATAGCATTCGATTTTTCTTTGTATTTTTTGAAGTACAAACAAAATTTTCATATTTTTTGATAATCTTATTAAGGAACAAAGAGACACAGCTATATGACGTGGGTAACGAACGGAACGAAACGAATGTTTATTGAATAAAAAATATGCTTTAGGTCGTTTACGATCCCTTAATGGGATCCATTCATGGTGCCCGTAGGCGGCCTTTTACAATACGTATTGAACGATCGGAGTACAGAAAATCTATCTATTATTTATCCATCCACTTTCAATTTAAAATGTAAAAAGTACGTCTATTTTCCAACGTTTAAGTATTAGCTTCTCCACTATTGGAGGCTCACTCTACAGCCTTCAATAAAATTTAATCAATGCGAGTGCTTTAGTTTATTTTACAATACAGCATTCAGAATTTATATATGTAACTTATAGACACGCATAGAAATAATTGGTTCAAGGATTAATAAAACTTGAAATTAAATAAGTACTCCCTAAAACAATATCAGGTTAAATTACTAATATGATCATTATTATTAGGTCAACTTACACTTTATTCTGGTAGTATTTCCTCCATATTAACAAAAGTGTTGTATAATTTCGTAGTCAAAGGTAAAAAACTACTATTGAAAATAAGGAATGATAGTTGATTGTAAATAAATAATAAACTAACAAAAAGAATTTGCTTTAATAATTAATTTTCGTGCAAAAATATAACCATAAAATATTTAAGTTGTAAAGAGCAAAGTTCTTTACATAATATTTACATTAAATTATCCTTTTAGCTTTCGTAGCCCTAATTAAGTAGAACATTAATTATAATTAGACAACAGGTAGAATATTATTCATATATTATTGTTACATACGGGAATAGCGCTAATTGTGAGGTATATGTGTTGTGGGTTCGTGTCTCATTTATCAATAATTAAAGACGTGTAGATAGTATATTCAGTTTGGTTAGATTAGGTTACTTGAATAATTATACTCAAGACTAAGTATAGCATTTTGAATTTACTGAAACGCTTTTGAGTCTACTTTGATAGTGCAGTTGATTTAATAACTGATGAGGTTTTACTTTTTTAATTACATTGTTTAATAGGTTAGGCATTTAAATTCAAAAGTTATTTTTTATTTAAAAAAAGGGGTTTTTTATTGATATTTACTTTTAAAAATATACAATGAGGCAAATAAAATATTTTAGGAAATAAAAAGATGTAAACAAGTAGGTATTAGTAATTTCCGTCGTATTCGTCGAAGTGGCGGATTGTTGAATAATCCACATTTAATTATGGCTCTCCCTCAGGAACGGGCGATTAAACAAAAAGTTTTAGGCTAACATTGAACATTTTTAATCAAGCCCCGCCGCTTTGGTACATACAAATTGGTGCTTTAGTAATTACTCACGTAAAGACAAAATGTTGATGAAATTTTAATAGAGCATTATTTAAGCGTGGTTTTTTATGACATATAGTAGTAATTTATTACAATAAAACAAGAAATCCTTTAATAAATAAACTATTAGTTGAAATGTGACTCATTTTGTATAAAAAATATCAAACATAATATTACAAAGTAATAATTATTTATCCTTTTATTATAAAAGTCAACATTTTGTTTAGCCATTTTCATTAGTTTGACAAGCCTTGCTTACAAACGTTTCGTTACACGCAACTATGTACCTATAAATATAAAATAATAGCATTTTTTAATATTATTTAATCTGATACATAATAATTTATGAATATATAACAAGAATACGTAAATAAATATGCTCATATATAAAAAATATGATAAAACTTCAGTGAACATCAATAACCTTCATAAACAATCTCGGTTTTTAATTCTAATGAACGAACCATTTATATCTGGAGCTATATAAAGCGCACCATTTTTCTGGAGAAGGAAATAAAACGTATTATATGGTCGATAAACTAAGATATCAGGGGCGGGTATAATACACTTAGTATCTACCTCTATTCTTACGAGGGCTTTATTTGATAGCTTGTGAAGTTATGCTTGCGTTATTTTATGACGATTTTGATCGTTTTGTAATTATTTTTGCTATTAAATTGTAATTTATTTACATACGAGTATACAAATGCGATATTAGGAATTATGTAATTGATTCCCCATACAAACTTTCATCCCCATTTTCACCTCCGTACGGAATGATTTCTGGGATAAAAAAGGGTCTCAAACTATCTTCTTAGCAAATTTCATTTAAATCGGTTCAGTAAATCCAGAGATTACCCCCTACAACGTCACAAACTCACAAACTTTACCTCTTTATAATATTAGTATACATCATTAATGCAAAAAAATACGTATATTAGGTCTAATCTTACGCAAAGAGAAATATAGTGGTAGCCAACATTTGCCTTACGGTGAAGTAAAACATCATGAAGAAACCTGCATGTCTGAGAGAACTTAGCTTGTTTTCGAAAGACATGTGAAGTCAGCCAATCCGCACTTGACCAGCGTGGTAGACTATGGCCTGATCACCTTGTATAGAAGAGAGGCTCGTGCCCTGCAGTGGGACGTTAAAAAAGGGCTTAATCCTTACATACTTATAATAAAATTGTAACTAGGCCGAATCTGTACATTAAATATTTTTAGGAAAATCTTAGTGAAATAAACATTATCATCGATACAGAGGCCGAATCTATAGTTTTTAGAATTTTTGTCTGCCTGTCTGTCTGTCCGTCCGTCCATCTATCTGTCTGTTACCGTATCACAGAAAAACCACTGGAGGGATTTTGATGAAATTTGGTATGGTGATAGCTGGTTATCCGGATCAACATATACTTAGGATACTTTTTACCCTTGGAAAATATCTCATTTCTGAGAAAAAATACAAAAAGTGCAATGTAAGACTATACTAATATGTAAAACCTAAGAATTTGGTTTTTTGGTCATCTGAACGCGGGCGGAGCCGCGGGCAATCCTAGTACATTATAAAAGCAAGGTGTTTATTAGTTCGACCTTTTTGAACGCAGCAAGGAAACAATGGATCAATGTGATTTTTACGTAGAAATTATTAAGAAGGCTACTTTTTATCTTGATACTTGATCATATCTAGGATAGATATGTCAGGAAAGATCTCGCTAAAAGAAGAAAGTTTATGTGTAATATATAAATTCACGTCCTTTTTCTTTCACCTGAAATGGAAACCAAGAAAGCTATCCTATTTATTTATTTTATTAAAAATGGGCTTACTCTTGACCTTCATCTTAGCTTGAAGGCACAGATAAGGTCTACGATCTAGCGAGTTTGCCCAGGAGAAGCCTGTAAGGTTGTACGCACTCGGAGAAACAGACGCAGGCAGGCATTCCATGGCTGTGCGCATTATAAAAGATGACGAATAGCGCTTAGAGCGAGTGGTCGGAATATCAACCAAATCGCTCATCACTACAATACTAAGCTGTAGGCATTAATGTAAGCTTTAAGGAACATAAACTATTATGTCAGGTAAAGTTATGCTCGGTTTATAAACAATTTTACGAGGGTCTTAATATTAATTAAGTCTTAATAGTTTTGGAAACATTTAATCTCTCACTTCAAATACCATGTTGCGTTGGACTTGTGAAGAACGGCTTTATCTTTGAAGTTTAAATCATGGCATCTACGTGATATGATGTATGTATAATTGTTTTATTATATGTATACACTAGCGACTCACCCTTGCGATGCTCGGGTTCGTCCCTACTTACGTTTTAACACACATGACATAGAAATTGCTATATTTTGACAACACTTATCATATGCCAAATGGCCGCATTTCCGTCAAATTAAACGCTGTTATGCATTCCGCCAGATCTACTGTATGAAATTTTATGATGATGTTCTCCTGACCGATTCCGGCCACAGCGGCCAATCTCATTGAGACTAGCCAACTGCGCAGGAGATATTATAGTCCACAAGTGTGCGCGCAGACACAAGTGCACTCTCTATTTCTGTTACTCTCATACTCCGGTGGGTCGACTGCTCGACACGACCAGTGAGGGTTAAGGCGCAGGACCGACGGCTTAACGTGCTCTCCGAAACACAGGGGTGAAACACCGCCAACTTCCCAACTCCGGGCCGTTACTGAGGCTTAATATACATAAAGACTCAATAACTAAACTTGGCTCAACCTGGGACTCGAACCCAGGACCTCCGAGTATGCAGCCGTACAAGCTAGCCACTACACCACCGAGGCATGAAATTTTATACTGTGGCAATATTATACTTTACAATATACCCGTAGTATTTTTTTAATTATTGCTAAATCGACTTAAAATAATTTTACGAGTCATTTTGTAAAGATGCCGAATATCCTTATTAAAACCCGCAATACATTCTAAAAGATAAATTATGTAAGCAAGCTTTTGAAGCATGCATAAATTATGAATGCAGCTGTGATATTCAAAATTTAAATCACTAAGAGCCTTTACGGCTTTAGCTTAGAAATAGACTAGCAAATAGAAACTTGGGCTTATTTGTACCATTTATATATTAGGTACGTGTCGAAACTAAAATATCTTCTCATAAGCAAAATATTTGAAAGTAAGTGACTGATACATATTCACATTTTTATTTTATTTATTCAGAAGACTAAAGAATAAAATAAATA